ACCTAGCTGACCCTTCTGTCTTCTAGCAGCTCTGGTACCCTCAAAGCTATTCCATAAGGTATGGGTGTCTAGGAAGCTTTCTGGGCTGTTGGTGCTCTTCCCGCTGCTCCATGCTGGTTACCTCTTTTCTTTGATATGCTGAGGTCTCTGATCCAACATCCATGATGCAGTGTCATACTGTTACCATATGTTTTCTTATTTCTTATTTGTTACCATAGGTTTTGTTATTACATTGTTATTTTTAGGTTAATACAAGCATTTTTAAATGTACGCTTAGGATTTGTATACGTCTGTGGCTGTTTCTTCCAAATTTTATAATAGATCTGTTTAAATATTCACAGTTGGTTTGCAAATGGCCAAATATCAGCTCTGGAGCACTGTTCTTCCCGAGGAGTTGCTTCCTCCCATGTGGTCTCAGAAGGCTGCTCTGATCCTGGGTCCTAAGAAAGCCTTTTACCACCTTGCTGCTACATCCTTTCCCTTTCCTGGTTTCCATGTTTTCCTTTTTATTACTTTCCTTATTTTGCAAAAGTACATGATGTTAGTCATCGTTCCATTGCTTTGACAAAATACCTGAGAAAAACAAGTTAAAGGAAGAAATACTTATTTTGGCACACAATTTAGAGACTTTATTCCATTGTCACCTGGTTCCATTATTTCTGGGCCATGGTGAATCAGACAGCCTGGCAGGGAGGGTGTGGTCAGCAAAGATTCTCATTTCCTGATAGCCAGAAGCAAAGTGAAAAGGAAGAAGTAGAACAAATTGTAGTCCAAGGACACACCTGCAAAGACTTGTTTCCTTCAACTGGTTCTTACCTTCTAAGTTCTTAGCATCTCCTAATAAACCATCAACTCTCCCGCCAGTTGATTAATGAAGTTTAAGCCTTCATAATCCTCTTCATTCCCCACAGCCCTGGCAAGCAAGTCTTTGGATGTGGCCTTTGGGGACATTTTAGATCCAAACCATAACATGCTTCCTCTTTCTTGGGAAGTACGCGTAGATGATTGCATGTCTGAGTATGCCTATTTTCTCTCCCCACCTTACTGACCACAGAACCATTACATCACTGGAAATAATTTCTCTTCATAATCTGGAAAGTGTTTCTATCCTGTCTTTTGGAATTCAGTGTGCTATTAAGAAATCTAGCCCCATTCTGATTTTCTTTTTTGTAAGCTGTTTTGACTTGTTTGCCTGTTTTTAGCTTTTAGGAAACTTTTAGGATGTATCCTTAGTCACATGAAATTTCAGTGTCAGACCTTGACTGGAGAAAGTTGATCTGCCAAGGCTCCTGTCCTGCATGTTTTGGTGGCACTCTAGTTGCCTCCTCTCCTGATGTGGTTCTTCCAGAGCCCCACAAGTCCCTGAAAGGGAAGGTTAATATCTGACTCCAATATTTTTCAGTGCCTTTCTCAAGTTCTGGTGCATAGTGCCAAATAAATGACTTACTTTTTGTAATAAGAGAATTGCTTTTAAAATGCTGTCCTTTTTTCCTTCCTAGTTTGAGATCAAGAAGTTGTCTGGTAATCACCGCCACACGTTCTGCATATATGCCCCAAAGATACTCATCCCCTTCTCCAAATTCATTCCCAACCAAATTCAATATTAGTTAATAATGTTCCCAAATTTTACTTTCTTCCAGCCATGGTCCCCAAAGACCTCAGACCCATCCTTTAGCAGCCCCCCTCTTCTCCCACAGCCAGATGATTCTACCTTGGAAATAGCTCCTCCAAAGCTTACCTTCTCCATTTCCCTTGACACTGCAATTTTCCAAATACCATTTACAAATTATGTGAGGTGATGTGTTATTTAGTCCTAATGAGGGTTTGACTGTTGCAGGTGTCTATTTTAGGAGCTCTCACAGCAGGAATACAGCTATGAGTATTTTGAATATAAACTGACTTTTTATTTCTTTGGCTTGCAGTAGAATGATATAGATATGAAGCATTTAAATGCTATTTAGAGATCTTTTATTTTTGTATGTTTGCCTCTGCATCTACTGTTCTTCTGCCAAGAATGCTTTTCCTTCCCTAGTCTCCATCATGGTTGACTCCTGCTGCTCCTTTGGGTCATCATTCACTATCTGGGGATAATCCTCTATCTCCAGAAACTCATATATATCCCTTTCACATATGCCACAGTCTTGTGCTTCTGAGAGCAGAAGAGATTTCTTGTTAACCCTTGAGACCTATGTATTATCAGTGAGTACATAGTGATGTCCCAGTAAACAGTTACCATGTGTCTGGTAAATGTGTGTTGTGTGAATGTACTAAATTCATTTAACATGTAAAAAACATCTTCATATGCTCCTAGCTTACATATTAGTTTTGTTTCAACAAAACAGATTTGCACAGGAGTCTATACTTCAAATCAAAGTTTCCCTTAGTAGTGGTATGAGACATGATTTCATCGTCAACCAAGGACATAAGCAAATATATTATAATATATGGCTTGTAATATACAATATGGCAGGGCTTAGAACACTTAACTAGATGCAAATTTTTCCTAATATTTCTATAGCTCCCTGTGGAGTTTATGAGTTGAGTTTGTCTCCATACATTTTTGTGCTTTACTTCAGTCTTATTTCTTTTATACACATGGAAGTGGAGGCCAAGAAAAGACAGCAATTTGGGGGGTTGAGAAAAGGAACAGTAGTCCTTGGTAGAGAGTGTTGGGCGGCACAAAGAGTGTCCATGGAGAATCTCAAAAAGGTGCCTTTGGGTGACAAATGGGTAATGACAGTTTTAAGAGATAAGATTAGAAAAACTGGCCAGGTGTGGTGGCGCACTCCTTTAATCCCAGCACTTGGGAAACAGAGGCAGGCGGATCTTTGTGAGTTCCAGACCAGCCTGGTCTACATAGTGAGTTCCAGGACAGCTGGGGCTACAAGAAGACCCTTTCTCAAAAATACAAAAAAAATTAGAAAAACTTTTGGAATCATTATGAAGGAGAAGTAAATGGGTTGGGACTTTATCCTGTGGGAACTTAAGGGATTTTGAAATGTATGATTTAAGAAATTAAAATATCATAATTCTGCTTTAGGGCTTACCGCTATTGTTTAGGATGAGTTAGAACTCGTAACTGGAAGCAATGTGGCATTTATTGCCTATCAAAAAGTTTCTGTGGAATAACTGTGTTTTGCTAGGTATTTGAAAAATAACCCTTGCCCTCCATGAGCTGCTGTGTAGTAATAGTCAAGTAAACAATATAATTTTCCAATGGATGTATTACCATATATACTTCATGCCATGGGACTTAGAAGGGCACCCAGTTAGCCCACATGGGTCAGCAAGTGATTCTCAATTCTCTGTCTCGAAGGAGTAGTAGGAACTAGCTCAATGAAGAAAGTGGGAAAGGCGCTCTGTGTAGAGAGCAGCATGTTCAAAGTCAAGAAACAGAAAACGTAAGCTGTGTGCAAGTTGCCTAATGAGTCTAAAATTATCAACACTATCTCCTGGGATCATCCTACCTGGCCATAATGCAATTATCACCCACTGATAACTTAACATTGATGCAGAATAATTATCTAACATCCTCCCGTATTCAAATTTCCCATTATCTCATATTCATTTATAACTTTTTTACAATTCAGGAGCAAAACAAAAGCTATGTTTCCTAATTTTCCTTTCTTTGACACCAATTCTCTAGCATTTATCTTTCTCTTTCTGTTTCACACTCCTATAACCAAACATGATTTTTAAAAATTAATGTTTTATTTTTAAAGTGTTTTCTTTTACTACCAAACTGCTTTAAATGTTTGATATTACCTACTTTTAGGAAAAATACAATTAACTTTAAATGTAAAATGTTAAGGCTAGGTAGGTATTAAATTGCCTGAAATATTAAATGTATTTTAAAGTAGCCATCAGAACATTTTAGAATTAAATTTATATGTAAATCAGCAACCTCCAAATACTCTGATTCTCACCCACCATTTTTGATAACACCTATAAGGTTTAGTACCCTTCTAAAAATATAAAGTAGAGGCAGATGGAGAAGCAGCTGATACGTATTTGTATTTATATCTGTTTATAAACTGTAAATGAGTGTGGTTTTGTGCTCTTCTGCATTCACGTGTCAACAGTTCTCTATAAAGAGATTGTTTCAAAAAGGAAAATAAAAACCAGTAATAAGTTTTTAGGAAAATAGTTTCTATTATAGATGTAATGTTATACCAGGCATACAGCTTTATAGAGAATGCCTGCAAATAACATCTTTGCAAGGGACAAAGAAGCCCTTAATATTCCTTCAGGTTAGAGTTAGACAGGGAACTTTTTTGAAGCCTTTTCTCTTATTTGCTTTGAGTAACATTTAGCATTGGTAAGTATAAATACCTATGAATATTATAAGGTAATATGTGGAATACAGTTCTTTTGAATTTTGAGTACCTCCTTGGGTTTATTTTCTTAATTTTAAAAGATGATTCTCATGCATTTTATAAAAGTTTGTAGTGATTGTTCTGTGTCACCTGTGGTCAGAAGACAGTTGTCTTGATTGGGAAAAAAAAATTTACTGGAAGCACATTCACAAAAGTTATCTTGGAAATCTAATGTTTTAGATTATATTTAGACAAGCAGAATTTCAGTAAGAATAGAAGCACTGTGCTATACCTGGTCAACTTTAGAGGAGTCTGATGCACCTTAAAAAATAACTCATTTCTATAAGGGAAATATGATTTATAACCCAAGACACAGATATGACTGGAACCACATTGCATTTAAAGTTACATGCCATTACTCTATAAAGCAGTGCCCCAGACTGAATCAGTGGAACCCTGTCCTCTTTAGTGGACAGTAACATATGCACTAATGAGACAGATTTTACCAAAAGATAGTTCATATGTTACAGTGTTGATGTCCTTTCTTATTTTGAAATTGCTGGCTTAGTTCTGGCATTTAGTCCTTTTCCTCCTTACCATCACCATCACCTGTTTGCTTGTGTACATTGACATTGCTATGGTAACCCTGAGGGCTGATGGAATTCCCTGCATCTCTTTTCACAGAGGGTGATGAGACAGGAGTGATGGATAGTTTGCTGGAGGCCTTGCAGTCAGGGGCTGCCTTCCGCGACAGAAGAAAAAGGACACCGAAGCCAAAAGGTGAATTCCATACTTGCTTTGTGTTACTTTCTAGGGAACTGTCACAGAGAAGAATACTTTTTCTCTCCTAATTCTTTTAACGACTTGTGTGAAGAATGTAGTGCTATGGGCCGCAAGTGTTCATGAGGTTCCTAAGTTTGCTTAATCCCTTGCAAAGGCAAATGTCAGAGAGAGATGCATTCCAGTTGGCTGATGTCAGTAGCACATTAACAAATTAATGCACTGAACCTAGAAAATCCTGATTAATATGACAAGTCTCATCTAAAGAACCATATGTACTTTGTCCCAGTGGAGTTTGCAATCGCATAATTAAATGGGAAATAAGAGTCATAATATTACTGCTTCAAGTATTGCAGGGTATTGAAGCATTGCTTTGCCTCTAGAAATACCTAACCTAACCTTGGGGGGGAAATGTGTAATATTGTTTTACTTCTTGAGATGAGTGTGCCTCTATATTAAGTTTCTTTTCTTTTCTATATTTTTAACAGATATTCGGCAAAGTCTCAGTCCAATGTCTCAAAGGCCTGTTCTCAAAGTTTGTAACCATGGTAATAAACCGTATTCATAAATTGCACATTCTCCTCATCTACTTTTATCCTGTTGATCTGTGATTTTACAAGGCTGCTATGTAGTTCTCAAGTTCCAATATAACTAAAATAGTAAAGACGTGTAGATGTACGTCTTTGCTGTGAGATTGTGGGCTTTGCTTTTCCATACTTGCATTATTGCCTTGAAGTTGTTTCTTAGGTTTTTCTTATTAGGTTTCAAGTGAATGTTTTATTAGTAGTATTTTTTGAACTTCTGGTCAGTGTTGTCTAATGCGTCAGTTCAAAGCATCGTGATTTCATGATAACTATTTTTAAGTAGCCAGTTTGCTGTGCATCAAGATACAATGTGAAATATTGAAAGTAATATCTCTTTTACTCTGCCATGTTTGCCAAGGCAGCTACAAATGCTTCAACTGTTTCATTCTGGAGAAATCATAAATGCAGATGAACTACCTGTACTTGTAGAACAATGTGCTATATAATTAGAAAACAAATATGAATTTACTCCACCTGCTATTTACCTGAAACTGAATTCTTTCAAGGAACGCTTTGGAATCTCTTCTATCTACCTGCATGTGCCCTGTCCTCTGCTTATGGGGCCATCTTGTGCTGATTTGCTTTTATTCATTTTGATTCCTGTTCTGTCTGTGTTCTCTGTTATAGGATTCTGCCTACGTTCCATAGTCAAAATCGCAGTCATTCTTTGTGAATAGCATTTATTCAGAGTGAGGATGTCATCACAGTTTGCCAGATTTATAAATGGAAACCTGCCTGACTGTTTTCATTCAAAGATTTTTGGAAAGTCTCAGCACCTGTGAGGCAGAGGCAGGTAGATCTCTGAGATCCAGGCCAGTCTGGTGTACATAATGGGTTTCAGACCAGCTGAGACTACAAGGAGACCCTGTCTCAGACAAAAAGAAATAAGGGGGGAAAAAAGACTTTTGGAGTACTTAGAAGTAGGTTTCTGGAAGTATTACCTGTGACTGAGAGGGAAATGTATGCATGTTTCTGGGTAACATAAAAGAGTTAATGAGGAAAAGTACAAAGTTAAAGGAATGGAATGATTTCCTAGTAACTATTTGCTACCTCAGATATAGCATATATAGTAGATGATTAAGAAATGTAGAAAGATAAATCTGTAGCAGTATTTTATTGGGGGGGGCAGGTTGCTTTTGGTTTTCTCTTTTTGAGAGACTAGATGTGCACACCTGGCTAGCCTGAAGCTCTGAAATTAAAGGCATGTGCCACCATGCCTGCCTTAGCAGGATTTAAAATAGGTCTTTCCACTGTTTTCAGTGTGTTTGCGTCTGATTGGGATTTTCCTGTTCTAAAAATGAGGAAAAAAAAATTGAAATAAGTAAGGAAGTTCATTATGAGCAGTAATTCCAAATTAGCTTATGAGTTTTCACCATTGTGACTTATGAAATCATAGCCAAAAGTATAGAGAATAGTGCTAACCTGGACCTAGGAGATGATTTTGTTCAGCAGAGAACTAAATGAAAATCCAGAGAACTGAAAATGTATCAGGAGGATAGAGCTAGTAAACAGCACTGTGTCTATAACACAGTTCTCTATTTCCTACTGTATTTCTTTTGTTATTATATATAGGCACTTTGGCTTTTCTGATTAATAAATACAATTTATCCCCCAAAAGTAAAAACTAAAGCCCAGCACAATGATTATGATTTTGCTATAATGGCATCCTAGACTTAAAGTAAATATTATAGATACTATGAAGGCAAAAGGATAAGGTAACTTTGTAACCAGCCTTTGGGGTGCCTAGTCCTTCTGTGACTGTAATGTTAGTAAAATTTCTGGGATGTAATGGTTCAGCTGTGATTACTTATAAATTGTGTCATTTCTGTTCATTGTATAAAAGGAGTTGAGCAGTGTATTCTTGCAAAGCTGATATGTACTATCTTAATGCTAAGACTGTTATGATAATTAAGCTAAGAGATGACACAGCAGCCAAAGGAAATATTTCACAAATATCAAATTCTCTTTTCTTATTTAAATATAATAAAATAAAATATATTTGTGGTTTTTGTGTTGATATTTATTGTTTCCC